GTTACAATATACTCTACAAGATTCACAACTAAAGCTCGAATAGATGCCAGAGAATTGGCTCCAGAACGTCAGCAATGATAGTCCACTATAATCACAACATTATTATGTTTTAGTATTATATACAACAGTCACTTGAGTAAAAGTAAACAATAAAATGTAGCAGAAAAGAATATTCAGCCTTCCTAGTTTCTATATAGTTTGGTTTTAGAATGCCACACTGATTTTTGGGTTCATTAAACAAGCATGCCATTACCTACAACATTTTTCTCACCTCCGAAGCACTGAAGTAATCAGGAACCATGTGTGGCTTAGCTTCTTGAGGAGTCCATCCAAATGTCTTCAGATGAAACAAAGCGAAAATGCAACGTAAGAAAGGTAGAATAGGGAGAAATAAAAAACTTGAAACTCTCATGTTAACATAATCTCTCGAATCAGAATTTACTATACTGAAAATGAAAGGCGGGATAGGGAGAGTCAACATTATATACCAAACTACCAATACACATACATATAATCCTTAGTTTAGTTAGAGATCTATGTGTAGCTTTTCTAAAACTCACGAGATATGAAAATGTCTGAAACCCGAAGTCAACAAAGGCTTGATAAGAGTAGTAGGTGTCTGTCATGATTCAAATAATGAGACATGAGAGAAAATGATACACAAAAAAGTTGCAAAAGAAAACACATAGCTAAGAGTCAAGTTCACAATGGAAAATGACCATTCAGTAGCTAAATGACATGCTACAAAGTGATATATATAAGTGCGAAACGAGAAAAGGAAACTTAAATGGCTAGCGTAGGAGACAAAGCAATCATCAGATAGTAAAAGCTTTTGGTGCAAAATACAGAACCGAGAAGGACCAACCTATCCGAATCCAAAATCACGAAGAGGACAGGGCTCATTCGCACCTAATGCTATTATTCTCCATACAAGATTGTCATGGTGCATTGACGCTTGAATCATCGGTCTGAATTCAATGTTGATTAAGACCAGCCAAGTGGAACAAGACAAAACAATTACTTTAGTGCAGAACGTAAACATGGATGGTTAACAAAACGTTTCAAGATGATACCTTTTCCTACTCATAAAGATGGAAGATTCAGCCATTAAACCGATATCTGCAGCTTGTAGCAATGGCCAGTCAGTAGATGAATTTGCTAGTGTTGTCGAAAAACCATTAGTTTGATTCAGATGAGCAATAGCATTGGCTCTTTGGCCAACCTTAACGAAAAAGTGGTCTCTCTCTCTATAATCTCAAGCTACTACCTTTCTCTTCCAATTCAAACAACCCGTCAATCTCATGATAACGCATAAACTGCCCATTCCCATAGAAACGAAATGGCCTTTCAGTATCCGGCGAATTAAGATCGTACCATTTGGTCATAGTAGTGAAAATCTGCTGATAGCTTTATGACTCGTTGATTCAAGACAATTCTCGAGCAATTCGATAGCTTTGGTGGGTCAACACTGGATGATTGATGGTGATCCGTTATCGATTGAGCAAAATCTACATACCCAGCGATGTCAGTCGTCTCCGAGAAGACAGGTAGATCGGAAATTAACAAATCAAAAGCTATCATCTTTTGGGATTTGAAAAGTGCAGATTTACGATCTGGGGAAAATGTTCAATCAAAAACTCTCGCCATGGAAGACCATAATTCTAACTGAACCAATCTCAACCGGCTTATAGAATCTCAACCGGTTCAATTTGGATTTTGTTTGCTTCTTTATTTCACTCTATTGTAAAACTCGTAATTGGTGTTTTTACTCGCATTTGAGATTGAGTTTAGAATTTGACTAGTTGTTGTAAAGCATCCGTATATATTCGGGTCTATGGTAAA